AGATTAAAAAGACGTTCTAGGACAAAGTTATGGGAAAATGATTGAAAAAGGGTAGGCCGCACGCTATTCATGTGCAATTTATTTTTTTTCCAAAAATCTGATTAAGGTGAAATTTTGGGCGTATATACCTAACACTATTGCGCACCATATAAAAATATAAAAAAAATATTTTCCATAATTTTAAATGACCAAATTACCCCCACCATTTTTTCGAGGTATTTCAGTGATTTTATATTTTGGAAAATATTATATATATATATATTTTTTAATTATGCATCCTATGTTTTAGTACACACATCTAAAATTTCATTATGATCAGATTTTTAGAAAAAAATATTAAAAATTAATATAGTGATATATATTCTGAACCACATGATGAAGATCTGACGGTTGAAATTTACCTATATTACTATTCGTTGTAGCTGCCCAGCTATTGTTAGATGCTCACACTATAGAGCATTTTATAATAGGATTGTATACAATGAGACCATTTATATAGAAAGGTAACAATTATTTACAATTATCTGATGTAAAATCTAATAGCTTAGGTGTGTCAATGAAATAAATGAAGCCACCCATTTTTACATCCAATAGTCAAAATCAATTGTGACCACCTTGTACAAGCCTTTCACCTACTACCCTATCACGAAACTTATGTTTCCTTATCTATGAGAAAGAATCATTCAAATTCTCGAAGAATACAACTAAATTCTCAAATAACACAACTGAATCTATGTATTGGCTACAACCTTTGTTCAATAGGTTGGCTTAAGATTAGCTCGAGGGAGAGAAACCCCAAAGGAGATAGAATAATAGAGTATGGAGGGCTATTACTTTAGTCTTCATCTTGAAGTCTTTATGTCAGGTAAATGAAATAATAGATTTATATATGAATAACAACGCCTGGTGGTTTTAACCCTTGCTTCTTGGGTTGAAATTGGGGTCTTTCTCATTTCTATTAAATCTTAGGCCTTTATTGTTTTTTCTTTAGGGGTTTCAGTTGACTCTAATATGTGTTGTTCAGTTTCTCGATTATTTGTTCTTTAGTTTCTCGATTTTGGCTCCACATTACATGGGGAGAGAGAGAAAAGTTAGATTCTTATATCTGCAATTCAATTTCATGGGTTTTGGCTATTGTATTATAAAGCAAGGGAAAAGTTTATATAAGGATGCAACCTGATAATGTAGAGATACAGATGCACCTCAAAAATCCATCGGAAAAGGTAGTTTTAATGTTGAAAAACCCTTTGATTATCATCTCGACATTGAGATGTATGACCATGAAAAATAAAAAGATTTTAAGTCTTAAAAATAGTGCATTTTACAACATATTATCTACACCGTCTATTTTAGTAAAATTATAGTGTAAACATCGTAAAATAGTAAAATTATAAAATGATCTATAGTTTAAACACCGTAATATAATCCTATTTTATATAGCAGTTTTTATTATATACCATTTCATAGATATAACATAATATATAAAATAAATTTTTTTGGATCAGATTGATTTTGAATCTAGATCCAAATCCCATATATATCTTTCAGATCTAGATCTAGATCTAGATGGAATTATTTGAGATCCGACCAAATCTGTATTCAGATCCAATAGACTTTTTGAATCCGAATCCAAGACCCAATCCAACCTATCATCAGCCTAGGCGATTGAGAGGCCTAGTTCCGTTCTTTGCGGTGAGCGGACTGTCCATCTACCTTCCTAACTTGAACTGCAGCCCATCTTCAACCGTTCATTTAAGACCCTAGTGTATAAACTAGGAGAAGGCGGGAAACACAGGATAGGGAGAGAAAGAGAGGGAGAGAAAGAGAAAGAGGAAGGAGAGGGAGAGAGAGATGCTGGCAGGCAGGGCGAGCCTCGTTACGCTCATCGGAAAGCGGAGGAGGATCTCCGCCACCGATCAAAAGGTGGAGCTCCTTTCTCTCTCTATATATATATACATTTATTCATTTTCATTTGCTTCTTCTAGCTGTTTGTCATTGTTTTACTGTTTTCTGATCATTTCCTGTTCAGATAGTTTAAGGCTAAACTGGAAATGATCTATGGAGTCTGAGCTGACTAACCAGAATATTTGTGAATGAGAACTATATTTTTATCTTCTATTGTTTTCTTTTTCAATTTATTATCCTTTTATTCCTTATTACCTTGTTCTGATTTTCTTTTGCTAGTGCCATTTGATTTATGGTTTGGAGTGTCAACTATTTATCACAAAATCTATTGGGAGGATGATAAGAAACTGAACACAAAAGAGGGAAAAGGGAAATGGAATTTTTTAGCATGGAAAAGCTGGATACATTTGTTCAACTTAGTCTGGAGATTCGAAAACTTATTAACAAACACATCCTTATAGTATATTAGGGTTCTGTGACCTCCTATTTCATCAATTAGTTGAATTTTTTGAATTCAATTTCCATGGATAAGCTCCTTCCACCATGTTCACTTGTTCTTCCTTCTCCAACAATTGAATATAAGTCATTTTTTTTTAAATGAATAAGTAATTTTGCCCTCAAAACTTTGTAAAAACAAGTTCTAAAATGCAATCTGGGTACTTTTTAGATTGATTGAGCGGGTTCCCCTTTCATTTTTAGGGATGATAAGGGTATGCTAACTTCTGATGGGGGGGCACGAAAAGGAATAATATGTTAGAATAACGATACTTTTGTTCTTTAAGTCCCATAGGTTTGATCCTGTAGAATCTGATCAGCGAAGTGCACGAAATCAATCAGATTTATTTTTTGATAAAAACAAAAGTACTATAATGAGTATGGTGTGGTTATCCGTCCTGTTATCAATTGAGATGATTATGGATTTTTTACTTGTTGAAGCATAGGGAGACATAACAAGATTGATGGACAGGTGTTAAAATGGAAATCTGTGATGGTAAAATTCAAATATCAGATGTTAAATTTTCATATTGTTTCTGTCATAGAGATCTGTGATAGTAAAAAATCAATCTTCAGGAAGTCGGCCCAAGCTCAAGACTTGAGCCCTGCCAAGCCGAATAACTTGGGCGAGAGTCCAAGTGGACTCGCCCAAGCAGTGTATGGGCCAGAAGCCCTAAAAAGTTTTTAAAAAATTGATATTTTTAAAATTTTAACATTACTACAATTCTTACCTGAGTACTCGGTTCAACAAGGAGACAAGTCCAAGTCAACTCAGCTGAGTCCTTGAACACTGTTAGGAATCAAATATTAGGCATCTGCAGTTGCCTCCTAGCTCACATGTTTGGGTCTTAGTATGAGTGATAAATTTAGACTGTCTATCTCTCCTCTTGCTAGTGGATGCTGTGGCGGGTATCTGTATGCGAAATAATATCTAGCCAATTTTTGAGGCACATTGTAGATAGAAAATTGCATTCAACCAGGCCATGTAATGATGTTGGTCTGAATTAAGTCATTACAGATGCATGAGTCCTTTCAATAAGTCATACTAAATGGTTAATTCTGGTCTAAGTCACTGAGGTGGTTATTATGAGTCTTCCATAGTTTTGGACTTCTAGTGCCATGCTTTGATTGCATACGCATCTACAGCTTGGCATATTTTAGTAGCATCAAAATATTAGTTACTTGTTTGTTTTGTCTATAGGATTTTATTTTCATGTTTTTGGTGTCCTAAAGCTTATTGTTTTATGGAATGTTCTAATTTTTGAATGCCCTTGGCTTGGTTTATGTTTCCCTAAAAGATGGTTACTGGATTGTTTTGTCGACTTATTGTTGCCAACATGTTATTGGTGTCCGTAAGTTGTTTGTCACTAGTGGTCATGTAAGTGTTTCGTAATGCTGTGGTGGGCATCATTAATAAATGGAGAATATGGGCAATTAATTCTCTCAATCTTCTAAATATTTAATGTTTCATGAAAATTCTATTTTGCTAGAATCAAAACACAAAATGTGAAGTTCTCTTTTACACTTGGGATCTTAGATGTGACCCTACTCGCTAAAAAACTTGATATTTAATATCATTAGTCTGAAGCAATGGTTTAAAAACCGGATCGGTGACCCGGATCGGGCTTTTCAAAAACCGATCCGGATCGGCGAATCGGCGATCCGGATCGG